ATCTTCTGGGACCCCCATAATTCTGCTGTTGGTTCGCTTGAAGTTGTCCCATAGTTTTCTTACATTATCTTCAATTTTCTGGTTCTCTTGCCTTCTAGCTTCTGTGGAGGAGTGTCTTCTGGCTCTTTATGTTCCAAGTCTTTGACTTGATTCTTGCGATCTTCCATTCTGTTTTTAGGACTCTGTATAGTATTTTTTATTTCAGAGAATGTATTCTTTATTTCTTGTAGATCCCTTATCATTTCTTGTTGACCCCTTATCATTTCTTGTTGAACCCTTATCATTTCTTGTTGATTCCTTATTAATTCTAGTTGATCTCTTTTCATATCCTCATAGGTTTTATCGATCTTTTCTAGGAAATTCTTGAAAAACCTTATAAGCTCAGATTTGAACTCTATATCCAGTTGCTTTTTGTCCTCCATTTCTTTAGTTTGTGATCTATTTTGTTGTCGCATTTCGCAGCTACAGATGGCGCGGGTTTCAGGATGGAACCTACAGCCTTGGCTTCCATCAGCCCCACCCTATGCGGTCTCAGTAATCACCAGGGTCCTTCAGTACTCACTGCAAGCGCCTCTGAGAAAAAGGTGCCCTCGATTTTCGTCTGCTAACAAACAGTCTATGCTCTCCCCCAATGAGCCCAGTATTGGGGTTCAGTTCAGTTGGCAGTGGAGTTGGAGGTGGCGTTCAGAGCAGTCTGGAGCCCCTGTCTCCTTCCCCCTAGGGCAATTCCTAGGCACAGCCAACCGTCCCTTCTCTGAGAGCAATGTGAGTGCCTCCAGGACCTCCTTTCGCCGCTCCCCCGGGGTTCTGCCTTACAGCCCAGCTCTCGCTGTGTGAGCCTGGGTTCCCGGGGTCTCGCCTAGAACTGGGGTTCAGAGCAGTCACAACTGGGTCCCAACGCAGTCGGAGCTTATCTCCTTCCCGCTAGGGAACACCAGCCAGGCACTCAGCCAGCTCCATCCTTTCCTCACGCCACGTGTCTCCGTACCTCAGGCTTTTCCAGCTCCTCTGCACTTCCTTCTGGTTTTCTCCTTGCTTCTCATTGTAGAATTTCTAGTCAGTCAACTTTCCTGTAGTTCTGGGTAATGTCCATTTTATATTTTAGTTGTATTTTATTGAAGTTGTTATGTGCGGCTGTGGCTAGGTGTTTACCTGGGCGCAGCCATCTTGGATTCTCTCCATTTTATATTTTAGTTGTATTTTATTGAAATTGTTGTGTGCGGCTGCGGCTAGGTCACATGTGTCAAACACAAGGCCCGCGGGCCAAATCCGTCCCGCCAGGCCTTGCAATGTGGCCCGCACCGAGCTGTCATCACTGCACTCTGCTGCGTTTCCATCACAATGACAGTTTATGACTGTTCAGTAAACCATTCGGCCAGTGATTTAGGCTGGATTTTAGATTTTGGCCTCTTCTCGGATTGAGTTCGACACCCCTAGGCTAGGTGTTTGCCTGGGTGCAGCCATCTTGGATTCTCTCCATTTTATATTTTAGTTGTATTTTATTGAAATTGTTGTGTGCGACTGCGGTTAGCTGTTTACCTGTGCAGCCATCTTGGATTCTCCCAGAACCTGCCAATATTGATGACAATCTCAGCACCCACCTGCTATTAAACTTGGTCTCCATGTGGCTGCCAGGGTGGGTGAGGCCAGTCAATGGAGAAAGCAGGAGAGAGGATTCAAAGCCCAGCTTCATCACTTTTTACCTGTGCTCTCTGGCAAGTGGCTTTATGGAGTCTTGGTTTTACCTGCAAAGTAAGAACGTCAGTGACCCAGCCCATTCTTACAAAGATTCCATAAGACCTTCATACCAGTCTCCACAATTAGTGCTCACCAAGGGCAGACTGTCCTTATTGGTAAGAAAGAATGCCAGTGAGGAAAGGACAGCAGAGTCACTCATGCTTTTTCTACTCCCTCCCTCCCACCCAGCATCTCAGTGCCTACCTCTGTTCCCAGCACTGATGCTTACCCAAATCTCTCCTGCTATGGTTCCCTCTGCCCTCAAATATAACTTTTCCACCAATGGCAACCCAATCCCAGGAAAAGGGAATAAAAGTAGAGAGCAGGAGAGACATATGTGCCCCCTGCCCACTAATACATAATAATAATAATAATAATAATAATAATAGTAATGACATAATCAACTTGGTGGGTTTCCCTAAGGATCTGGGCAGGGAGTCACTATGGCTCTCTGTAAATTATAACCCCCCAGACAGTTGGGATTTTTTTGGTACCATATTGCAGTTGTCATTAATATTTCCCAAGTCCTGGCCCATCCCTCTGCCACTTGAGACCATGAGTTACTCTTCTCCAGTTCTCTGCAAATTTCCACTGAAATGTGGCTCTGGTGTCTCTCCCTTTCCCAACTAGAGAAGGGCAATTCTGAGGCATAGCAACTTGACTCCACTTTGAGGTTCCAATGAGGATTCTGGGCATCAAGAAGCATCAGCATTGAGAGAAACCAAGATGGCAACATCGGTAAACACCTAAACTACTGCCTTGCACAACAATTTCAAAACTACAACTAAAGGAGAAAATGGACATCATCCAGAACCACAGGAAGTCTGGATAAGTGGAAATTCTACAATTAGAAGGAAAAAGAAATGCACACTGAAACTTAAAGGAGCTACAGAAGGCAGAGTCATGGAGGTGAGAGGACTGGCAACTGAGAACACAGCTGGCTTTTTCAATCCAGAGGGAAACACAAGCTCCAGAATGCTCTGAATTCCAGTTCCAGGCAAGACTTTGGGGAACCAGATTCATACATGGAAAAACTGGACTATCTAGCAGCAGGCAAATCTTGAGAATGGCTTTCTCTCAGAAGTGCATGCTGAGATTATCACAGGATACTGAGACCCTGGGACCTCTGTAAGCAGGGTTGACAGGAAGCCATTGCTGTTTGCTCTGCCCTGAGACTCCATCCTATCCAAACTGAGCATGGAGGCTTTTGCAAGTCTTGTCTCATAAGGTGTCCAGTACAGAAATTCTCTCATCATAGACACAATTGATCCTCATAGCCAATTGGTCTGGAGGATCAGTTCCTCCCAGTGATACCAACAACAATCAAGGCTTAACTACAATAAGACTGTGCACACAGACCACAAAGGGGCACACCTCAGGTAACTGGGAAGCTGAGTCACTGGTCCCTAGCACCCAAAGCCACTCTATCAACACAGGGAAGCAGCCAAAATACAGAGAGAAAGGAAAACTCACAAATGAAAGAATGGAAGAAAGCAAATGACTAGATATAGAGTTCAAAACTACAGTTATAAGATTTTTCAAGAATTTTCTAGAAATGGCCAATAAATTTAGTGAGATCCTCAAGAACATGAAAAAGGACCAACTAGAAATTAAGCATACACTGAATGAAATAAAAAATAATATACAGAGATCCAACAGCATGCTAGAGGATTGCAAGAATCAAGTTAAAGTTTTGAAATATGAAGAAGTCAAAACACACAACTGGAAAAGCAAAAAGAAAAAAGAATAAAAAAATATGAAGATAGTGTAAGGAGCCTCTGGGACAACTTCAAGTGTACCAACATCAGAATTATGGGGGTGCCAGAAGAATAGAAAGAGCAAGATACTGAAAACTTCCTCCACCTGGTGAAAGAAATAGATTTACAAGTCCAGGAAGTGCACAGAACCCCAAACAAAAGAAATCCAAAGAGGAAAACACCAAGACATATTATAATTAAGATGCCAAGGGCAAAAGACAAAGAGAGAATATTAAAAGCAGCAAGAGAAAAACAGTTAGTTACCTACAAGGGAGCACTCAGAAGATTGTTAGCTGATTTATCAACAGAAACTATGCAGGCCAGAAGGGAGTGGCAAGAAATATTCAAAGTGATGAATAGCAAGAACTTACAACCAAGATTACTCTACCCAGCAAAGCTATCATTCAGAATTGAAGGTCAGCTAAAGAGCTTCACAGATAAGAAAAAGCTAAAGGAGTTCATCACTGCCAAACCAGTATTATATGAAATGCTGAAGGGTATTCTTTAAGAAGAGGAAGAAGAAGAAAAAGGTAAAGATAAAATTATGAACAACAAAATATATCTATCAACAAGTGAATCTAAAAATCAAGTGAATAAAAAATCTGATGAACAGGATAAACTGGTGAATATAATAGAATCAGGGGTATAGAAAGGGAGTGGACTGACAGTTCTCAAGAGGAAAGGAGTGTAGGGGATGCGGGAAAAGACTGGACAAAAATCGTACACCTATGAATAAGGACAGTGTGGGGGTTGGGGGGAGGTAAGCAGAGGGTGGAGTGGGAACTGGGTGGAGGGGAGCTATGGAGAGAAAAAGAGGAATAACGGTCATCTGAACAATAAAGATTAATTTAAAAAAGAAAAAAATAAGTAAAATGAAAAAAAAAGAGGAAATATCACCATCTGGGTCAGCCTCTGGGTTAGGAGCACACTATATTATCCAGCCAGACTCTTCTTATATTTCTCCCCCAGGAAGCCTACATCCACTGCTGAGATGCTTCTCACCTCAAGACCTTCAAATCCATCCTCTGGAATCTCCAATCCTGAGACTGTTAAACCTACATCCCTCTTCAGCAGAAGATTCCCCAAATATACAGCCACATATTCTGTCTTATTCCAATACCCTTAACTCTTTCATTCTTCTCTCCTGAGACCACAAACTTCACAACTTTGGTGTTCTTCCTCACTTTGAAGCCCCATATCCCAAATCAGGGCTCACACATGCAAATATTCCAGAATCTTCAGCTCTGAAATTTGTCTACTTTGTGTGAGCTGCCCCCCCCCCCCCCCAACCAAGTCCACAGTCCTGGACTGGCCCCTCAAGAGAAACCACAAATTCAGAATTGTTAATCTGTCCTGGACTCCCTCCCTCTTCCATTGCTGGCTGCATCCCAAGCTAGGCGGGAACAAGGTGGGGGGTGTAACTGGGATGTGAAATGAGACAGTTATATAATCAGGACCAAAGACCGCCCTTCTCTCCCAGGTAGTATAAAGAGAAGCCATCCCAGCCTTCCCCAGATGACTCTCACTCAGCGCCGTCATGGTGGCCTCAGGGCTGCTTCTGGCAGCTTTGCTGTTCTGCCTGACAATAATGGTCTTTATGTCTGTGTGGCGGCAAAGGAAGCTGTTGGGGAAGATGCCTCCTGGTCCCCCAGCACTGCCCTTCATCGGGAATTACTTGCAGCTGAACACAGAGCGGATGTACAACTCCCTCATGAAGGTGTCATGAGGCAGGAAAATGGGGGTTAGGGTGGGGTTGGGGGCCTGCCCAGTCTGGCTGAGACTTTGTGGCAGGGAATTGGCAAGGTTGGACTGAAATCTTAGGAAGGAGGAGGTTGTTTTTTTAAAATATATGTTTTTATTGATTCCAGACAGAGAGGACGAAAGCATTAGAAAAGGAGGGAAACATCACTGCAGTTCAAAACCTGGGCATGTGCCCTGACCTGGAATCAGGGAATCAAGCTGGTGACCTCTCTGTGCATAGGATGATGCTCAAGCAACCGAGCCATACCAGCCAGGGCGAGAAGGGGGAGTTCTGAAGGTTTAGTACTGGGGTTCTAGCCAGGAAAGACAAGATCTTGGGATGTCCAGTTCCTTGACTGTCAGAACTTGGGCAAAATGTGTCCCAGCCTGTGAGGGCTGGGCACTGAGTCAGTCCAGAGCTGGAGCGGCTCCCTCTCACCACTCCCATGCCTCTCCATCAGATCAGCAAGCGCTATGGTCCAGTGTTCACCGTCCACCTGGGTATGCGGAGGGTCGTGGTGCTGTGTGGCTATGAGGCTGTAAAGGAGGCTCTGATGGACCAGGCTGAGGAATTCAGTGGGCGAGGCGAGCAGGCCACCTTTGACTGGCTCTTCAAAGGCTATGGTGAGGGGGACTCTGGGTAGGGAATGTGATCTTGATGGCCTCAGTTTCCCAGCATTCTTCTCCCAACTTACCTGCCTACTCAACTCTGTGGGAGACCTTCCTCTGGTCCCCTCTGTCCCCCTTCCTGTGCATCCTTGTGTCTTCTCTAACTTGTCTTAGAGTTTCTGCATCTTCCTGCTTCTCTATGCCCTATCTCCCAGCTCTCTTAGTAGATATCTCTTCTTTCTCTGCATCTCTTAGAAGCTCTTGGGATTTTTGCATTGGAACATTGGTCCTCTGCCTCCAATTGTCATTTTGTCTTTTTCTCCTTCTCAGCTTCCGTGCCTCCCCGTGTTTCTCTCTCCCTCTCTTTGCCTCTCTTTTTCTTTTGTCTTAGAATCTCACATTATTTCTGCTTCAAAATCTCCATGCCTCTGCCTCCTGGTAAAAGCCTCTACTCTCTTTCAGACCCTCTCTGTTTCTCTTATACATTTTTCTCTCTTCTCCAGCTCAGTCTTAGAATGCTTCTCAATTTTTACTCCCACCTCCCAGATCTCCACACATGTCCCCTCCCTTCCTTTCTGCATCTCTGTTTCTCTGTACATCCGTGTTGGCCCTTTCTTTTGATTTTCTTCCAACTTGGTGTCTCTGTATTTCTCTTCCGTATTTCTCTGAGTGTTCTCTCTCCTCTCTCCTCTCTCCTCTCTCCTCTCTCCTCTCTCCTCTCTCCCCCTCTCTCTCTCCCCCTCTCTCTCTCTCTCTCTCTCTCTCTCTCTCTCTCTCTCTCTCTCTCTCTCTCTCACACACACACACACACACACACACACACACACACACACACACTCCCTCTGATCCCGCCCCTCTCTGGCCACTCCCCACTCCTATATTCCCTCCCTAGGCGTGGCCTTCAGCAACGGGGAGCGCGCCAAGCAACTCAGGCGCTTCTCCATCTGCACGCTGCGGGACTTCGGAGTGGGCAAGCGTGGCATCGAGGAGCGCATCCAGGAGGAGGCAGGCTTCCTCCTTCAGACCTTTCGGGGCATGCGCGGTGAGCCTGGGACCCTGAGAGAAGAGGAGGAGAATGAACATCTGGCCTGGGAGGGGAACTAGGTTGGGGGAAGGTGTTCCTTGAATATCAAGACTGGCATCTGACCTCCAAGTTGACTCTCCCCCAAATCCCTTCTCTGCCCCCTCCCAGGTGCCTTCATTGACCCCACCTTCTTTCTGAGCCGAACTGTCTCCAATGTCATCAACTCCATTGTCTTCGGGGACCGCTTTGACTATGAGGACAAAGAGTTCCTTTCACTGCTGAGCATGATGCTGGGAAGCTTCCAGTTCACAGCTACCTCTAAGGGACAGGTAACTGACCCCAACCTGGCTCTGTTGTGGCCCTTGCACAACCAGCCATCGCCTCCCTTGCAGGTGCTCCAGCCCCTATCCTCCTGCAGATCAGGGTCCCCTCAAAAACAGCCTTCTCCCTAGGACAACTGAACAGGTGATCAGGAACTCAGGACAGGTGCTCAATACCCAGTCTCCAATACCTAGAATCTCAGCTGATAGTCTCCTGATCATAAAAGAAAGGGAAGGAAGGACATCTGGGTGTGTGTCTCAATCCACCTCATCTACTATTAAGTCCTTGGACAGAAGCCCACATGCTGATCTTGCAGAAAAAGTTAGACATTTGTTTCCATCCAGCCCCATGTAAATACCTGGCCACCTGGACAGGGGCCTTACCAGGCCCGAGGCAGGCCCTGCTCCTTCAGGTGATGCCCACTCACAGCTGTCGTTTGCTTTCCTCCCCCCTCAGCTCTATGAGATGTTCTCCTCGGTGATGAAACACCTGCCGGGGCCACAGCAACAGGCGTTTAAGGAGCTCCAGGGGCTGGAGGACTTCATAGCCAAGAAGGTGGAGCAGAACCAACGTACACTGGATCCCAACTCCCCGCGGGACTTTATCGACTCCTTCCTCATCCGCATGCAGGAGGTACCTGCCAGCAGCCAGTGCAAAGAAGACCAAAGCCTGGCAGAGGAAAATCAGGGGTTTGGGATCAGGGAGCGGGGGTGGGGGAGAACAGAGGCTCGTTCAGATGACCCCCATCCCCCATCAGAATCCTCAGGACCCCTATTATAATTCACTGTTCTCTCCACTGAGCGTTCACCATGAGTAGGACTTGTGTGTGCCAATCATCATAATAAGCACATCTAAGCTATCTTCATGCACCAGGCACTATTTTAAAAAATTCCCAGCATTCACCTATTTAACACTCACACCAGCTCTTGGAGAGGGTTCTACTGTGACTCCAATGTTACAAATGAGGACACTGAGGCTCAGAGTGTGTAAGTGCCATGCCTGAGGTCCCGCAGTGAGGAAGCAGTGGAAGCTAGCTCCAACTCTGGTCTCTCAGACTCCAAGGCTGGTGCTTTTAGCCACCATGCTCTTAGCTTTCATTCCTTGGTTGTCAGATACACCTGTGTGGACAGGTGACCTTGCTTTACTATGTGGCATTGGAGGTTCCCGCCTCCTAAGTGGATGGGCTTTATGGAATCTGAAGTTCAAGGTGAAAGGATCAGGGAGTGGATTCTCCATGGTAAGCTTCAAGATTTTCAGTGAAGGAATGGGATGCTGTTGCTTAAAATCTGGTCTGTGTCTCAGAAAATGTCTCCCTTCAACTCTCTCTGATGCATTCTATCATGGTCTCTCTCGCTCCCTGTCTCTATTCCTCCTTTTCTAAATACTTCTATAATTAAAAAGCAATTACTAAGTGGGTGATTAAAGAACAGATAGTCAGCTGGATAAGGAGTGTGCAAAGAACATTTGGGTAGAGCCACCAGCCTGGGAAAAGGCCTGGCAGAACTAGGGTTCAGATCTATAAGAAGTGGCTCCAGAGGAAAACCCCCAGAAGGGACCTGAGAGCATGGGGGAGTGGGCTTGGCTTGAAGCCCTCTCTCTCTGCAGGAGCAAAAGCACCCCCACACAGAGTTCCACTTGAAGAACTTGGTAATGACCACGCTGAACCTTTTCTTTGCGGGCACTGAGACGGTCAGCACGACCCTGCGTTATGGTTTCCTGATGCTCATGAAGCACCCAGATGTGGAGGGTAAGGCTGGAGCGGGTAGGGAAGGGAGGGCCACAGACCCTCAAAATTCCTCTGAGCCCGCTGTAAATTCCTCTAAGTCCACCTCTCCAAAATTTCTGGACCCTCAGACACACCCTGCTATGCAGAGACTTGGTGATGATATTAACTAATAGGAATGAGTCAAATTTCATTATCTGTTAACATATTGAAAATATCTGTACTGATTGGTAAATAGTTCTACCAAGTGGCCACTACCTGACCCTCCAGACCATCCCCAAGACTCCTTCCTCTCAGCTCCCCCCATGAGTCTGGCACAACCTGGTTAACAGGCCCCTGTGCCAACAATGCTTATGACCAACCTCTGTTTTGAATAATCATATGAATGATCCAGTTGCACATATTCAGGCTGTCATTCCTGCCCAAGACCCCTAGATACCTAACCATATTCCCCCTATCTCACAGCCAAGGTCCATGAGGAGATTGACCGGGTGGTTGGCAAAAACCGTCAGCCCAAGTTCGAAGATCGGGCGAAGATGCCCTACACAGAGGCGGTGATCCACGAGATCCAGAGATTCGGAGATATGATCCCCATGGGCCTGGCCCGCAGAGTCACCAAGGACACCAAGTTTCGGAACTTTCTCCTCCCTAAGGTGCTGCCCTTGTCTAGCCTAGAGGGACCTGCACCCTGTGAGCCAGCACCCCAACCTCCTTAGAGGCTTCCAGCCCTTGTCCTCTCCCTCAATCACAGACTTCTCCAATACAGTCCCTTCAACCTTCCCACTCAGATATGGGTCCCTTTAACCCACCCATATCTCCCCAAGACCTCTTGCCTCAGGGAATATGAATCCCATTTCCCCCAAACATCCTGCCTTGAGAGACATGAACTGCATGTACCCCAAAGCTTCTATTTCAAGAGACACAGACCCCAATCTCCCCAAAATTCCTGTCTCAGGGACATAAATGTCACACCCTTCAAAGCTCCTCCCTCAGAGAGGACCCTGGCTCCCATTTCTCCTCACCTAGAGCACCCACATTCCCTCTCTAATCCCATATGCTCTCAGCAAACCTGTTCCCCCTTCACCTTGTCAAACCCTTTCTCCTCCCCACCAGGGCACTGAAGTGTTTCCAATGCTGGGCTCCATGCTAAGAGACTCCAAGTTCTTCTCCAACCCTGGGGATTTCAACCCTCAGCATTTCCTAGACGAGAAAGGGCAGTTCAAGAAGAATGATGCTTTTGTGCCATTCTCCATTGGTAAGAGATCGCTGTCTGCTGCCGAGCCACCCGTCACACCAACAGGGACTTCCTTAATTCCAGCTCCCCTCTCTGAGATGTAGCTTAGGAGCTTTCTCCAGCTTGGATATCCCTCTTATTATCTACCCAGCAGGCAACAAACTGTAGCCCTCTTAACTGACACCTACAAAAGTCAGGCAAAAGGAAAGGGGTGATTATGTCTACTTCAGAGATGGGGTAAATCAAGACCCAGAGTGAGTCAGAGTTTTGCCCAAGGACACTTGAATTCTTCAGATTCCTAAGGAGATGATAGCACAGCAGCCATATGTGTGTGTTTAGGGGAATGGTTATCTAAAATTCCCATTGCCACAGCCTACTATATCTCACCCCCATCTCAATTACAAGGGAAACTGAGGCTGAGACTGGATTAGAGACTTCTCTGAAAGTCTTCAGGTCACGGATTCCATCCCCGGGCAGATTGCAGCTGGAGATGCAGAGAGGGCAGAGGTGGCAGTGAGAGTAGGCCTCACCTCCACCCTTCCCACCCTACTGTCTTGTCAGGAAAGCGGTACTGCTTTGGAGAAAACCTGGCTAGAATGGAGCTCTTCCTCTTTCTCACCACCATCATGCAGAACTTCCGCTTCAAGTCCCCGCAGTCACCCAAGGATATCGACGTGTCCCCGAAACATGTGGGCTTTGCCACCATTCCACCAAACTACACCATGAGCTTCCAGCCTCGCTGAACTAGAGCTGCCACAGGGCAGGGCTAGTGGGAGGAGCAAATGGGAGGGCGTGTTCTGGAGAGGCGGTGCTAAGGATTGGGGGTGAGGTGGAGGAAAAGAAGGTGCAATGTGGATAGGAGAGTAAGAAGAAACAGATGGGCTGTCTGTCCACCATGTTAGAGATAGAACCTTCAGAGTTGGGGTGAGATAAAGCGAAATCTTACACTATACAATGTTTGATAATAATAATAGTAATAATAATAATAATAATAATAGTAACAGCTTTTCTTTTTATTGAGCAAGTACTCGTGTCAGCTCTGTGCTAAAAGCATTACACACTCACTTCCCTAATGCTCACAAATCTATGGGATGGGAACTGTGTTCATACTCATTTTATAGGTGACACAGCTGAGTACTTATTGTGTTCTGAGATCCCACAGATCTGTGCAAGGATGGCTATAGGTAGCCCATTGTCCTTTGGGTAGATTTTTAAAGAGCACCTCTTCCTTTCAAGTTAGAAATTGACAATATCATTATATTAATACATTACCAGAGGCCCTGTGCATAAAATTCATGCATGGGGAGGGTCTCCTTAGTCTAGCCTGCACCCTTTCCAATCCAGGACCCCTCAGGGGATGCCCAACTATTGATTTAGGCCTGATCCTGGAGATTGGACCTAAACCGGCAATCGGACATCCTTCTCACAATTCAGGACCACTGGCTTTTAACTGCTCACCTGCCTGCCTGCCTGCCTGATTGCCCTTAACAGTCCCCTGCCCCTTGCTGGCTTATTTGCCCCCAACTACCACACTCTGTTAGCCTGGTTGCCTCTGACTGTCACCCACCCACTGGCCTCATCACCCCTTACTGCCCTCCATCCCACCAGCCTGATTTCCCCCAACTTGCTCCCATGCCGGCCTATTCTCCCCAACTGTCCCCCCCTCATTGTCCTGGTTGCCCCTCACTGCCCCCCACCCCCACCCCATGAGCCTGGTCGCCCACAAGTTCTCCCCCTGAGAGCCTGGTTGTCCCACACAGCTTGCTGTTTGGTTGTTTGGTCTCCCACACTAATCCCCCTGCCAGACTGGTTGCCCCATGCAAGTCTGCTGCTCAATTGTTTGGTCACCCTCACTGACCCCCCTGCCAGCCTGGTCACCCCATGCAGCCTGCTGCTTGGTTGTTTGGTCATCACTCAATAACCCCCCTGCTAGCCTAATCACCCCATGCAGCCTGTTTGGTCATCCGTTCAATTGCGATGGTCACTTAAGCTTTTATATATATACTAGTGGCCCTGTGCATGAAATTTTTGCATGGGGGGTGGTGGTTCCCTCAGCCAGCCTGTACCCTCTCCAATAGGACATCCCTCTCATAATCTGGGACCACTGACTCCTGAACTTTCACCTGCCTGCCTGCTTGATTGTTCCTAACTGCCTTTGCTTGCCTGCCTGACTGCCCCTAACCTCTCTGCCTGCCTGTCTGATCACCCCTAACTGCCTCTGCCTGTCTGTCTGATCGCCCCTAACTGCTCTCCCCTGCCAGCCTGATCTTATCCTCAACTGCCCTCCTGTGCCAGCCTGATCTCATCACTAACTGCCCTCCTTTTGCCGGCATGGTTGCCTTCAACTGCCTTCCCCTGCAAGCCTGAGCTCTCCTCCAACTGCCCTCCTCTGCCTGCCAGTTTGGTTATGATTGGTCAGTTTCTATGTCAGTCAGTATCAAAAACTCTATCTGCTAGGCAGCCATTGTTTCCTCACAGATGACCCAGATTTTGTTCTAATTGGCCAGTTGTATGCCAGTCAGTGTCAAAAGCTCTGCCTCCTAGGCAGCCATTGGTTCCTCACAGTATACCCAGATTTGGTTCTGATTGGTCAGTTTTTATGCCAGTCAGTGTCAAAAGCTCAGCCTCCTAGACAGCAATTGTTACTTCACATTTCACCCAGATTTGGTTCTGATTGGTTGGTTTCTATGCCAGTCAGAATATCTGGGCTTATCAATGAGGTCTGATCAGAAAGGTGGGGCTGATCAGCAGCCCTGGTGGAGGCCTGGAGAGAAGTGGAGACATGGCTGCTGGCAAGACTGGGAGAGAAAGAGGCAAGTTCTGATCAAAAGCTGCCACAGAGGCAACGGATCAGTCCCTGCTTCCCTCTTCAGACCTCTCTCTGGCCCTGATTTGCGGCCCCTCAGCAGTCAGTGCTGGGGCACCATGTTTGCAGAGGAAGCAGTGAATGCTGGGTTGTCAAGGACCCAGCACTGACTGCAGGACTGACTTCTGGTTGGTCAAGCCTCGGTCATTACCGGTCGTTACGACTCAGGGTTTTTATATATTAGGATAGATGAACAGCTCTGTCCAAGGATTTTTCCAGAGCTTTGGCAGGCAACTGACCTGGTTTCACTACAATCAGGTGTCTTCAAACTACGGCTCGCGGGCCACATGCAGCCCGCAGAGGAGTCTGATCCGGCCCGCCAGGTTTTTTGGGCAGTGAGCGCAGCCGAGGTGTTATAGTAGGAATTAGTAGTTCATATAGTCCGGCCCTCCAGCTCTCTGAGGGACCATGATCTGGCCCCCACTTTAAAAAGTTTGAGGACCCCTGCTACTCTTGTCCATTCATGCACACTACAAATGCCAGGGCATTGATGAGATCCCCAAAAGGTGGGATATAATCAGAGTGAGACTGGAGAACATGATTCAGGTTTCTCAGTGAACTGGGTATGGAAGAAAAACACTTCAGCAAATGCTGGGAGAACTTTGGTCATGACACAGCCAAAACAAGTGTGTGTGCATATGTGTGCATGTAAGTATATGATTGCATCTTCTCCTGAGTGTATGCCTGAACTCATTTGCTATGAATTTCTGAAGATTTGGCTTTCTCTGATGGATCTGGGGTCTACTAAGATCCAGCTAAGATTCTCAGAATCACCTTCTTACTCTCAAATACATCAGTGTGTGTTCCTTTAGAAGTAGCATCTTCAATCAGTGCACAATCTGAACTTTCATACACATTAGCCTTGGTTTTATGTTTCTTACTCTAAATGCTACACAGATCTTTCTCCCACCAAGAAAAGGAAACTTGCCACACTTGAAAGGACCAATGATTGAGAAAAAGAGGGGTACATTTGGTCCTCTGAACCTTGAAAATTTCACAGCAGGCTATGATTCTCAAGTTTCTCATTTTCCATTATCTAAGTCTTACAACTTAGGTTTCATGAATTGGTTACTTTCTGCTCACTGGAGAAAGAGAAAGATGAATCCATAGGGCCACACCCTTTATTATTACAAACAGACTTTAAAATTTTATTATTTTTTATTTATCTTGAGAGAGAGAGAGAGAGAGAGAGAGAGAGAGAGAGAGAGAGAGAGGGAGGAAGGGAGAAAAAGAGTCAAGAGAGGAGAGGAGGGGCTGGAGCTAGCTGGGTGCTGCCAATGAGGCACTTCTCCAGAAGAAGAGAGAATAGCTACCAGGTCTTTGCCTTATAAGGAGGAAGAGAAGAGGTAAGAGAGAACAACTATTAATTTTCATAATCCTCCAGTATGATCGTTACAAGAGGGAAAGAGGTGGGAGGTAGTAAAAGGTCAAGGGGGTTAAATATATGGTGACAAAAGAAGATTTGACTTTGGGTGGTGGGAACACAATGCAATATACAGATGATGTATCATGGAATAGCACATTTGAAACCCATATAATTTTATTAACAAATGTCTGTGGCTGGAACTTCCAATACTACGTTAAACAGAAGTGTTGAAAATGGACATCCCTGCTGGCCAGTGTGGCTCATAGGTTGAGTGTTGACCTGTGAACCAGAAGGTCACCAGGAAAAGTAAAATGGAAAAAAAAATGTGAGAAAAACTAAATAAAATAAGAAAAATAGCCAAAACCAGTTTGGCTCAGTGGATAGAGCGTCAGCCTGCGGACTGAAAGGTCCCAGGTTCAATTCCGGTCAAGAGTATGTACCTTGGTTGCGGGCACATCCCCAGTACGGGGTGTGCAAGAGGCAGCTGATCGATGTTTCTAACTCTCTATCCCTCTCTCTTCCTCTCTGTAAAAACTCAATAAAATATATTAAAAAAAAATAAGAAAAATGAATAAGAATAGTCAAAAGTAGACTAGAATGAAAGGAAAGAGAGAAGTCAGAGATATGCAAGATAAAAGAAGAAAGAACAAAGGGGGAAAACAAACCAAAAAACCAAAAAAATCACACATACACACACACACACACACACACACACACACACACACACGCACACACACCCCCCAAAACCATACACACTCAGAAACTTTTGGGTGCACTATTTGTGGAGCTTGTTGGATTTTGCTTTGATGTTGTTGACTCTGGTCCTTGCTGTGACTATCCTGGGCCTCACGGGAGCTTCTCTGGTGCAGGTCAATGTGCCACTGTCCCTTTCTGGTCTTGGGCAAGCTGACTGAGGTCTGAGTGGCAGAAGCCCCTAGTAGTCCAGCAGGTGGGGACTCCCTAGCCCAGAGTGTACCTGGAGTCTCAGCACTTAATTGTTCCTGTCCTGAGGTGTACTCCATTCCCCCATGGGCTCTGCAGGGGTATCCTGGTCAGGGCCAGGATGGTTTGATCATACTCCTATTGGGATGGTGTCAGGTGCTCATAGAAGGTGGGGCCGGGCCCTTTTCCTTCTAATGTTTCAGCTCTGCCTGGTTGGCTGGCTCATTTCTGTCACCTACCGGGGCACAGATTTCCTGCCCTGGGCTGTTACCCTTTGCCTCAGATTGCTGCAGGCCATGTCTGAAGCAGCTGTTTTGCTGGGGGGGAAGAAGGCATGTTCCCTGTGTTTCAGGTGGACAGGCAATATCCTCCTTCCTGGACCTATGGTCCAGCCCTCTTTCTGCTCACCAGCATGCGTTCCTGAAAGAAATAAGTGTTCCACTATATTCAATGTTGGGTGAGTCCTTCAGACCCCTCCAATGTAGCCTGGCCCTGAGCTCCACTGCATGGTCAGGAGGAGCTTCCCAGACTGCACTATGGCTGGGTGCTAGTGCTACTCTATCGAGGGACTTCAGCTCCAGGCTTCCACTGCTGCACCCACTCTACAGTGTCCACAGCCAGTGCCCTCAGGCCCTCCTGTCTCACCTACAGATCTGCAGCCTCTTCAGTCTCCACAGATCATCATTTCCAATAGGTCCAGGGGAGGCTACATGCACCTCCCAGCCTTCAGCACAGTTTCCACCTCTGCGTTTTTAATCTGTGTGAATCCTTTGTTC